AAAGAAAAATATTCCCCCAAAAAAATCCTTACAAATGTGAATATTATAATTTTAAGAATGGAAAATTTTGTATTTTTAGCTTATTTTATACACACACAAACTATAAAGTTTAAATCATGCAAATATACTTTTGTTTGATACACCAAAAAAATGGTAAAATTTGAAAAAATAAAATATTTGAAAATTAAAAATAAATTGCAAAAGAAAATTTTGTTTTTTTTATATTAATTTTACAAAAACCAAAGTTTGCTTTTTTGAATAGCAATTTTAATTAAATTAGTGAATAAAATTGTATTTTTTCTTTTATTTTCGTACGTAGAAAGAAATTAACTGAATTATCTCAAAAATTAGCTATTTCAAGTATCACTGATTCAACTTAATAAAAATGTTTAATCTTTTACTAATTCAAATTTAGAGAGAAAAATAACCATTATTGTTAGCCAATACAGCTAATAATAATTAATCCGTGTAGTTGCCGTTTTTAATCCTAAAATATAGTTTCTCCAGTTTAATGTAAAAATTATGAAAATAGCAAAAAAAAAAGTTAATTTTTTTCTATTAATAGTTTTTTTTTTATTCACCAAGAAGTCGAATCTGGGTAATTGGGTCTACTTTACAGGAATGCATTTTATATACATCACATATTTCTAAATTTAATTGGTCGAAATTACCATTTTATTAGTTAGTAATAAACGTTTTATTATACTTGACTGAAACCATTCATATATAGATAAAAAAAATCCAACGTTTCAAATTATGAATTATTCAAAAATTCACAAAACGGATATTATTTTAATTCCTCTAAATTAATATTCCGTTAATTAAAACAGTCCAATCAAAATTAAATTGAAATTAAACAAGAATTTAAAAAATTTTTTTTAAATAAAATAAAAAAACAAATTCTTAAAAATATTTTTTTTAAATGCGTGAAAATCATTAAATTTCACATTTTTTTCTCTAATTGTTGTTTATTTTGTAAATTACTTTTTGTAATTTATTTTGTAATTTCTTTTGTAACTTATTTTGTAATTTGTTTCGTAATTTATTTTGTATTTTTTTTTGTAATTTAATTTTTATAATTTATTTTGTAATTTATTTTTCGTTATTTATTTCTCGTAATTTAATTTTTGCAATTTTTTTTCTGCAATAATTTTGTTTCAACGATAAGAAAAAGACACGACGTCATATAATGAAAACATGATAAATACTAATAAGTTGAGAGTGGAATGAAATTCGAAAATTTGTGTTCTATAAACTGATGGTTGGAAAAGCCCGTGGGACAAATGGTTAGGTAAACGCGTAATTGAAAGCACTTTACGGACCCTAGACTTTACGACAACCCGCACTCGCACATTTATATTCAGTGTTGAGGGAAATTACTTGCAAATAATAAACGACTGTCACACTGAATTCTTATTGTGTTTATATTTTATTCTATAGTTTATCGGAAAAATCACTGTTATTCAATTTTTTCTTATAAAAAAAAAGAAAATTATAATTTGCTCCATAAAAAATGTGATTTTTTTAATTCTTTACATTTTATTATATTATGAAAAACTCCATGATTTTTTTTTTTTAGTTATATAATTATAATTTTCAGCTAATTTTAAATAAAAATAATAATAATCACCTACACTCAGAAAAAAATATATTTGACACGGAGCCAATTTTTTGTTTAAAAAATAATTTTAATTTTTTGTTTCAAGTAAAATTTTAGTTGGTTCAAGTAAAATTTTATTCAGTTCAAACAAAATCATTATTCACTTATAAATATTTCAATAATAGTAAAAGTTATAGTAATTACTATTCAATTTTCTATAATTATATATTATACAGAAAACATTTGTACTTTTCAAGTTAAATAAAAATAAAAGAAAATAACCGAAAAATATTAAAATCAATTTTTCAAAAAAGAAAAAAAAACTTAGAAAACCAAAATACAAAAAGCATGCAAGTAAAAAATCAAATCCTTGCGCCAAACCCAAATTTTGAAATTATTTTTCATAATTACCTGTCTTGATTATTTTTGTTTTTTTGTCATTTCTTGCTCGATGACTATTTATAATTAATATTTAACTTAAATCTTATATATTGTACTTTAAACCAATTCTATAAAAAATTTATAGCTATTTTATTACGTATTAAAAAAATTTTTAATAACTTTTAGCAAAAAAGTGATGATTTTTACCAAACGGTCACGACTTTTTATAATAAATTTGATAATTTATTCTCTTTATAAAAAAGATTATTGAAATTTAGAAATTTTTAAAGCAACATTTAAAGATTAAAAAGTACTATCGGAAAAAAATCGAATTGCTTCTAAATCAGAAAACAATGTAAATTTTTTTGTATAAATATTTGCAAAGTAAAATAAACAGCAAATTACAAAAAAGCAAAATTTAATATTAAATTAAATTGAAAATAATAATAATTTACCGTTTGTTTTAAATTTACTTTTTCTACGTTTTAAATTATTTCAAATTTATTTATATTTTTCTTCATTGAAATTTAATTATTTAAATTTGTTAACTTATTTCTTACTTATTTACTAAATTTATTAATATATTAAAAAAATTATAATTTATTTCTAATGGTGAATTAATTATAAGGATATTTGGATAAATTAAGGTTTCTCGGATTAAAAACAAAATAGTTTTAATGCTGATTTCTTTCGTATATATTTTAAATGTGTTTTTTGTTTTTGCAGAGTGTGTTTTTGTGTGTGCATGTTTCCGCTGTGAAACATATTTTTTTTAATATATATACATTCGAAAAAAAGTCCCCGTCTTACATTGTTTTTTTGTTTCTATTTATTTCTCATCTCTAATTTTTTTTTTATTTCTTGCTTCTCATAATTGATATTATTACTCGTATATACAAATCTACACGATAATATTGATTTTTTCCCTTGGTTTTCTTTTCTTTTATTTTATTTCGCGTGATAATTATTGTTATTAACATCAAGACAAATATGAAACATTTTTATTTTTTTCGTTTATAATTATATTTTACTATTATTCGAAAAACACTATATAAAACATAACTAAAAAAGAGAACTAAAAGAAGAGAAAGAAAAAAATAGTTGAAATCGAGATCACAGGAAATTGTTTTAGTTTTTTTTTTAACTATTGTTTTCATTGACATTCGCTTCTTCGAAAATTTTCTCTAATTTTTTTTTTCGCCTTTTTTAATATTCCTCTTTTCTTTGTCAAATAAATAAATTTTTGTAAATTTCTAAATAAATAGAGTTTTAACACTAGGGCTTTAAATGTTTTCTCTCTCGTCGCTCTCAGAGAGTGGGTGCGAAGAAACGAATGCCAAATGTGCTAAAAAGATGCAAAAAAGTTTCTCGCGTCGAACAGTTCTTTTTTGTCAATTTTTGAATTGTCATAAAATTCGGTACTTTTATTTTTGAATAGTTTATTGTTTTTATTATTATCATCATTATTTGAATGTAAAGAAAAGTGACACGTTTCAGAAGGTGAAAAAATTGAAAGAACAATAATTAAATTAAATTAAATTAAATATATAATATAAATTCGACGAGGACGGGAGAAATACTAATTTTTAATAATAAAGCACTAATTATAATGATAATAATACTCAGTGGTGTAGATAGAATATTTCACTTCAGACTTTTTTTTAGTCCAATTTTTTTTTTGTTTTCGAATTTTCTTTTTTTTTATTAAGAAAGTAAAATATTAAAAATTAAAAAAATGAACAGATTTGCTCCCAGCTACACCACTGATAATACTTATATTTCAAGGGCACTGTATTGGTGATAATAATAAAAATTAGATATAAAGATAATATAAAGTTTATAACCGTTAAAGCCGTAATATACGAAAATCATAAATTTGTTCTCATTAAAAATAAAAAGAAACTCGAAATCACGGCATTTAGGACAATATATATATTTATATATTTACTAAATTCGAATATTTACAAAGAGTCTAAAAGCGACGGACATATTTTTTTTTGATATATGTCTAAAAAAATGATTTCTCGCGAATTTCATTTTTTTCTTCAAGTATAAGTTATAATAATATAATTTTTCATTAGAACGACAATTTATTGTCGTTTATGGCCTTTGTTGACTATGTACAGATTTTTTTTTCTTTTTTGCTTTTTCAACTTAAAATATACATTTATGTTTACACTGCATTATATATATTTTATATAATATATGTATACATATGTATATCTACTATTTTTATTTTATTAATAATTAATAATATAGAATTATAAATCTGTATATATGTGCATTTTTTTATTTACAAGATAAGACAAAGAAGTGGGGATTTAATAATGCTCAACTTATAATATATATTTATAATATGTGTCAACGAGAATTATTTTTTCTTTTTGTACTTGAAAAAATCCGAAAATTTGTTTTCGTCTTTTTTAAAATTCACTCCTTTGTCTTATGTTTTCGATTATTAATAATTTTTTTTTTTTATTTATCACAGTGGTTATTTGAGGAGAACGAGTCTACCCGTATACTCGTCAACGAATCACTGAGCACGTCGTATTCAAAAATTTTGGCTAATTTCGCATTTTTGTTTAAATAAATTCCCCTTCTTTCTTTCCTGCTTGGAATTATTTTTTTTGTATTTACAGTGACAAAAAAAATAAACAAAATTTACTCGCTAATCAGAAACAATTTTTTACACTATAAGAAAGAAAAAGTTTAAAAATTTGTTTTTTTTTTGGAAAAATGCGAGCAAACTTGCACAGGAGAAAAAAAAAAAAAAATAAAATGAAATCGCCAAATTGACGCGACCTGCGCTTCCACACACCTGGAAAAATTGTTATTTTTTTCCGCCGTCGCTCTTTCTCTGAATCGAGAGGTTAACAATCCTGACGAAACGAGAAGAACGTGGGGGAGAGTTGAGGGTTTTTTTTTTCTCTCAACACACACAGAGTAGCGTCGCTTCACTGCGAGATCGGAAACAAAATCATGTACATGTGTGCAAGTATGTTTTTTTTTTCTAAAGTTGTTTTTTTTTGTTTAGGAAAAATGTTGTTTGTTTAATTTTTCACTAAAAAATGATGATTGTGGGCAGGTGTCGTTGATAGATGATCGAGAAATTTTCGTGTGAGATGGCATCCTTGTCCAATAATGTGTCCTTCCATGCCCATGAAAATTTCCGAAGTCGCAGAAAGCTTTGTTCCCGCAGGGTCCCCCACGTGCAAGCTCGTTTCACATTTTGCTTTGTCTCTCTCTCGGTCCGTTTGAGTCACTCTGGGTCACAGGCCTCGTTCATCCATCCATCCTCTCTAAGTTATAATCCTACGAGGTTAGTGATTTTTACGTTAGCGAACAGTTTTTTCGAAATTTCTTTGTTTGTTTGTTTATTTTTTATTTTACTTCTTTAAATTAGCGCGAGAATATATTTTTCACCGATATCCAATGATCCAATCAGAAAAAACCCTTCTTTTTGCAAAAAAGAAAAAGAAAGAAAAAAAAATAGAGAAGAGAAGAAAGAAAACCTTCCGTGTGTGTGTAAGGGGGTTCCTTTCTTTGTTCAAAAAAATTCACCCTTCCCTTCGACCCAAATCTTATTTATCTGGCATTCAATCTTTTCAATCATCTACCTGAGGAGTTGCCTTTAATCTAAAGTGATTTTATTTACAAACCTAATAAAAATTCCACCATTAGAAATCATATTTTTTTGATAATTATTATTTTTCTTCGATATTTGTTATTCTTTTTTGTGTACTTTGTACTCTTTGTACTTTTACTTTATGCATTATTACTTTATGTATTTTTTACATATTTTTTTACATTGCGTACTTTTTGCATTTAATTAAAATTATTATTATTTATTTAATTATTATTATTGTTTATTTAATTAAAAAACTAAAAAATTATATATTTTTAACACTTCAAACTTTTACATTATGTATTTTTGTCCATTGCGCACTTTTTATATTACATATTTAAAAAAAAATTTTTTTAATACATATTTTTACATTTATTAAACAATTTCTTTTAATTTATACTTTAAATCTTCTTTTCTCGATATTTATCAAATTGTTTGCTGTTCCCATCACCAATATTAATTCTCGACACTGATTTTTAATTTTTGTTCCAAAAACATAAAATTAGAGAAGTTTTAGTTTTTTCTGTTCTCTTAATTGACATTGAATTACTTTCCACTTGAACTGATTCACATTTAGAACACAAAAGAATAGCTACATTTAAATTTTTATCTTGTAGAATTATTCAATCAAATACCAAGTAACGAGTCATTAATTTAAATGCAAATTATTTAATAATATTGAATAAATAATTTTTTTCGAATAATGATGATAGTAAATATTCCAATTTTACAGAAAAAAGGATTAGGAACAGCAAAAAATGAAGAAAAATATCGGAAAAAAGAAAAAAATTGTGAAAAAAGACAGAAAATCGAGAAAAACGGAAAATAATTGTAAAAAAAGACGGAAAATTTGGAGAAAAGAAAAATTATCGTCAAAAAGACAGAAAATCGAAAAAAAAATGAAAAATAATTGTAAACAAGACGAAAAATTTGGATGAAACCAAAAATTATCATCAAAAAGATGAAAAATCGAAAAAGAAGTTAAAAATGTTTTAAAAAAACAGAAAATTGCGAGAAAATCCAAATTAAGTACATAAAGAATAGTGAATATCAAAGAATAATAAAAATTAAAATATCGATAATAACTAATACTTGGAATTTTTCTTTCTTCGAGGGAAGAAATTTACAAAAACCCCCTTACACTGGATCATCGGAATAAAGAAATTATTTTTCTTTATTTATTTAGTCAGCAACATGCATTAATGACTAAGTTGGGACAAATTTTTCTGGAGACGAATTTCTTTGAGAAAATTTGCAGGGGTTGAAGAATGAAGAGTTAGAAAATTTTAATTTTAGCCTTAATTTTTGCTAATTTCTAATGATCAGTTAGAATTATTAAAATTTACTTTTATACAAAGTTTATGTTTACAATCTTTTTACTTTTATTCTGAATTTGCTTTTAATCAGTTTACTTAAAAATACAGTTTTATAATACAGTACTTTTAAATTTTAATTTTTTAAAATCAGTTTACTTTTAAAATGAAGTATTTTTATAATGAATTTACTTGTAAAATCTGTTAATTTTTTATAATCAGTTCAATTTTACTATCAGTTTACTTTAAAAATGAGTTTAATTCTACAATATTAGTGTACATTTTATTGTAAGTTTACATTATTTCTTGTTATAATTCTTCTTGATGGTAATTGTACCATTTTTAGAAGTTCATTTCATCTCCTCTTTATTTGATTTTCATTGAAGAGATTGAACTTCTTTTCGTAAACTTAAATCCTCATTATTTGCTCAAACTTTATTTGAAATGCATTTAAAACGCATTAGGATTATTATTTATTTAGAAATCTGGAATTTTTACTTTTTTTAATTTTCAGACATTTTTGGTATCAAACTAAAGGAAAATTGAATTCTTTGATTTAGCAAAGGGAAATTTTGTTCTTGTCTCAAAAAATTAAGGGGAAAAGTTTATTCTCATCTCAGAAATGTTGCGTCTCATTTTTGGGAAAGATATTACTTGCCGAGCAAGTGTAATCAATTTTCGGGTCTTAGATGTGCGTATATATTCTCTCGATTAGGTAAATATAGATTACATTTGAAATTATAATTGAGTGTACAAAAATATACTCAGGAGTTTATAATAACTCAAGAGTGTATGAAAATATGCTCAACTATAAAGTTTTAGTGAAGGAAAAGAAATGATTCTTACATGTGTGATAGAGGCGGTAAGGCTGAATGATGCTGCGATAGTGAGTCCGTAACTGGTCCAGTTGCATAAACTGAATTGTGCTGTACAGAATTATGATCTTGTATTCCCGGTAGATAAACATTGATCATGTTCCTGAGATCGGGCGCTTGTTGCTGTGGCTGTTGGCCCATGTATTCTCTTTTAACACCGCCGGGCACGCCTGATGACGTTGGTCCAGTTGGTGTTGGTGTATGAATACCGCCGCTCGCTGGACTCGTTGGCTCTGATTTTATGCTGCTACCACTTGGACTGTGACTGGACATTTGTGATCCAGGTTGAGTTTGATGATAGGGCGAGGGTGAGCCACCGGGAACGGCTGCTGCACCATAACCACCATAGCCATTCACGTAATTATTTATTGGACTTGGACTACCACCGCCCATGTGATGACCCATGTCGTACCTTGAGTACGCTGCCGCGGCGGCTGCATTCGCGGCCATATGACTATTGTAAGCTGGATGCTGCTGATAAGCTGATGGATCGTACATGAGATGTGAACCGTTTGGCATGTAGCCGTTTGTCATTTGGTAAACATCGCGGGATAATTGTGGCTGTTGGGAACCAGCGGCGCCGCCGACTTGTCGTTGATCAACGGCCAACATACCAGCAACTCCGGATACAACACCGCCAAGGGGGAATTTGTCCTTCTTGTTGATGGTCTTTGTCTTGCGACGTGGTCGGTACTTGTAGTCGGGATGTTCCTTCATGTGAACGGCCCTGAGTCGTTTGGCCTCGTCGATGAACGGTCGTTTCTCGGTTTCGCTGAGAAGCTTCCATTCGGCGCCGAGCCTCTTTGAGATTTCGGAGTTGTGCATTTTGGGATTCTCTTGAGCCATCTTGCGACGTTGACCACGGGACCAGACCATGAAGGCGTTCATTGGCCTCTTGACGCGATCGTTGTTGTTGGTCTTGCTGGTGTTGTTGTTGTTGTTTGGAGGCTGATGCTGTTGGGACTGCTGTTGCGATTGGGAATGATGTTGCTGTTGGGCGACAGCGCTCTGTTGAGCCAAACTGTGCATCACTTGTTGTTGCTGCTGCTGTTGGGCTGGCTGCATGGCACTGTAGTGATGCTGCTGATGATGATGTTGCATTCCCAAACCGCCGAGACCAACACTCGTTGGTGGACTCACGGAAATGGGATTTGAAACAAGACCTCCTAAATTTTGATAGGGCGATGTTGTTGTTGCATGATGACCCATCGTCGAGAGACTATGATGGGTGTGTGGGGGCATTTGCGCGTGCAAACTGCCGCCCTTCAAATCCGACTCCATCGTGAGCATGTCTTCCTCCCTGTGCCCGTACAGTTTGCTGGATTTATCAAAAACACTTTCAAGTCAATAAACACACAAACTAATTCCTCCTCACAGTCATACGGGAACTCTATACGATACGATATTTAACATCGATTAGTCAATTTTCGTTTTAAAAACCGAACACTCACAAATATTTCACTATATCAAGCTTGAGGAATCAAATAATTCCTCTTCGGGGTTCAAAAACAACAACACTGTCACTTCGTTGATTCTTCAAAAAAGAAGAAAACCAAATTCAAGTCAAAAAACGAAAAAACAAAACACTATTTTCGATTATTTCGCACAAAGAAATGAGATTTTCTTTTTTAATTTCGAGAAATCTTTTTCAAATATTGATGTTTTTGTAAAGACACTGTATATATTCTGTTCACGGAATGAATGATGTACGCGATCTTTTATTATTAAAACAAGCGAACAATATACGAACAACCACTCTCTCCGCAAGAACGGAACCGTCTGAGCATTCGTTGCTTTTGCCTTGGGCTTTGTAGGTCTCGTTCACTTGCTGCCGAGGCGGCCGCCCCTCCCACAATGTTGCCCCCACTATTCGCTCGCCCCATCCCACATTTTCCCCTCCATCATCCACAAATGACCGGGAAACCCGTCGCATGAGCAAAAGTCTGACCGGGTTTGAGAGTACCCGTCGGCAATCGATTGGCACACACGCCTGCCATCATTTCAGCCAGCCAATGGTGCGCCTCCCTCGACCATTTGGAGGTGTGGCGAAACCATCTGACGTCACAAAACCAACTGGGACGACCTCTCGCGGTGACGCGCTCCGTCATGCGCCGAGAGCATCTGACCACCCGCTTAGCAAGGTTCCCGTGTATATTTCTAGGAAATGGTTTAAGGTCTGTATACGTATATACAATACATACATTTATCAGGCATCGTGACGATGTATCTATATATATGTACGTATATATAAAACTTTTTTTTTCTCCTTTTTTTCGTTGATATACTCGTGCTCGGCGCGGAAAATTCTGACGTTGTTGTCTTGTGCAACGTTCGTGCGGAGTTTGGAAATTTAGCAAACTTTGCGTCTCATGTGAATGAGTCAATTTCTTTATTATTTTTTACAGTGGAAAGAATCTTTTGTTATTTCTATAAAAATAAAATTTTGATTTCAATTATGCATGTATTAATATTCTTTTTTGGTGATTTTTGTTTTAAAATACTTGCAAAGTCTATTTCATTTATTGAAAGTTTTAAAACGCTTTAAAAGGCTTTATATGTGCAACTTTAAATTTTAAATACGCTTCGCAATATAAGTGAAGGTTTGAAAACAGTTTTTCTTTCAAAAATTGCATAGATGCGCATTTAAACTTCAAAAAAAGCTTAGAAATAAGTTATATTTGACTTACTGAAAGTACTAAACAGCTTTTCCGAAAACTGTCAATAAACACACACTTAAAACTACAATCCGCTTAAAAATAATGTGAAATTTTACCTAGAAAAAATTCAAAATCCCTTTCTATATTCAGTAAGTGTATAAATGCACTTGAAAATTTATGTGCGCTTCGAAATAAGTAAAATTTCACTTGTTACTTTTTATAAGTGAAATTTCACATATAAATAGTTATAAGTTTCTTTTTTATAAAAAGTTATTGAAGGAAAGAGAGACTTATAACTTTTTATATGAAATTTATGCGAAATTTCACATGTAAAAAGTTATTGAAGAAAAGAGAGAGACTTATAACTTTTTATATGTGAAATTTTACATGTAAAAAAGTTATAACTGTCTTTTTACTTTTATATGTGAAATTTCACATATAAACAGTTGTAAGTCTCTCTGTTGTTCAGTAAGTGCATTTACAATTATATTTAGTGAAATTTCACTTAGAATAAGAAAAAATTCACTTATTGTGAATATATATGCACTTATTGAACCAGAGGGACACTTATAACTTTTTATATGTGAAATTTCACTTATGCAGATTTAGAGAGTATAAGAAAAGCACTTTAAATTTTAAATGCGCTACGAAATAAGTGAAATTTCACTTAGTAATACATCTACAACACATTTTCAGTCAAAATTTGTATATACTAGAACTTTCAAGTTCTTGAAACTTGAAATGCTTTTTAAAATATATGAAATTTTGCTCTTACTGAAAGTTTTAAGTTGTTTTTTCTTTCAGAAAATTTCTGTACTCACTTTTCCTTTTGAAAATATGGTTTTACTTAAAATTGCAAAATAGATCATATTTTCTAAATTGTTAGTCATAAATTTTTAATTGTATATTGTAATTTTTGAAATAAAAATCATTAAAAACCTTCGGTCTCCAAATAAGTAAAGTAGCCTACGCTATTCATTTTGAGGACTTGAGGTGCAACGAAACTGAAACCCATAGATGGCGCCACGCTCTATACGAATGACCAAAATGAGCTGCAACAAAAGTGCCACCGCGGTTTTTCTCTATGATATTCTAAACTATAAAAATAGTCCTAAATCTTTAAAAAAAAATTCACGAAAACTTAACAAAATTTTCTACATTTTCAACTTTTGCTTAAATATATTTACAAAAGTAAACATCTTCATACATTTAAATTCTCTGAATTGCATATACATTTTGCGACGTATTTTATTTGAAAATGTCACGTACATTACTTTCGCGAAAAAAAAGAAGAGAGAAAAAAATTTTAGCATAGTTTTACACTTGAATGACCATTAAAAGAGCGTATATATTACTTGTAAAACTTTCCTTTCGCGTATATATAACATATATATATATGACAAATACACATTTATATTTCATTATTTGTACAACTGAAAATTATCGAACTACAGTTTTCTCAATAATAATCTTGTGATTGATATTATCAGCTGTATTTATAATTTTTTCACGTGATTTTTTTTTAACAAACATTCAACTCTTACGTGCGCAAAAATTATTCAATATTCTTAATCATATATTTGCTAATATATATAATAGTTTTCAAAAAATTTATGTAATATTCCGCTATAATAATTCAGGGACACGCGCTTAATATTTATACGCACGGGGCTCTGATTTTAATTTATTGTAATTGCGATCTTGCGATTTTAATTTTAATAATTTGGTAATTTTGATTTAATCATACTTGACTTTCTAGGAACTATTTGTTAATTATACGATTCATGAATAGATTCATTATTTATTTGTAATTTATTTATATTATAACTTATTTTTTATTTAATAAGAATATTTAAACAATAACTGAATTTTAATTAGTAAAAACTAAAAAACTAAAATTTGTAAATGTTTACTAATTTGAATGAATGACTAAATTTTGGCTTTTGATTTGGCAAATTTTACTAATAAATAATAATTTCTACTAATTTATTACTAAACTACTAATTCAAAAGCAAAAAATAAGTTACTAATTCAAATTAGTAAACTCATTTTTATTTAGAGAATAAAAATATTTTTTTGTGATTTACAACTATAATTTTAATAAATTAACACAACACAGTTGGTAAATAGGGTAATGTGTTAATTTATTATAATTATAATTTATTAATTATTATAATATTATAGTTTATTTTAATATAATTATATTACATCACTTATTATTATAATAAATTAACACTTAATCCTATTTTTTACTGCGTCTGTTTCAAATTTTTATATAATTTAACAATTGAGAGTAATTGGAGAAAAATTATTCGAATTGCGAAAGAAATTATATCAAATGTTTGTGAAAAATAAGTGATAAATAAACGCGCTTTAGTCTAAAAATTCATTAACGCTAAAAGGGAAGTATTAATCGAAGTTTAGCTATACTATTACAACGGCAACGGAAATTAAATCGATTCATTTGGCTCAGCGACTTGTAGGCGCAACGTCACATATATTCTATTTTATATGTCGCGCAGAAATTGTCTGCAATATTGTTTGGACAGATAATAAATAAATAAGCAAATAATATAGTCAATAAAGTATATATATAAAATAAAAATAATAATTTCTCTTTAAATCAAGCGAATTTTATTTGAACCAATAATTTCAAATAATAATCAAATAATAATTTAATTTTTTAGAAGCAAAATACAATTTAATTGACTTAAATAAAAATTAGTTGTTACTAATAAATATTTATTTCGTACAAATGAACACAAATTTTCTGAGGATGTCAAATTGAGACAAAAAAACGTATCAAAAATGTTTCTTCGCAACACTTTTGAATACGTTTTTTGTCTCAATTTGACATCCTTAGAAAAACTATATGGTAGCAAAAAACTTTATTGTGATTAAAACTACATGTAGTAAATAATGCACATACTTAATACTATACAAGTAGTAAACAATACTGAAAGTGTAAATCGAAGTAAATTGTCGAACACTCACCTGTGTCGCGTGACACAACGATATTATTCGAATCTTTTTTTTATTCGCTCTCGACTTTATTTATATTATGTATAATAGATTTCACATGTAGTCTCTCTCGAAGAGCGCACTTTTTTTTGGCCTTTTTTTCATCACTCGAAATCCACAAAGAAGCTCACGAGAGAATCGCTACTATGTGTACGTATATATATATATAGTGAAAAGACTTCCATTTGACGTTTAAGCGGGTTCATGCGTAGGACCTGTTGCCGCGAGATATAATAGAAGAATACGTCATAGATAATCATAGCGCACCCTGCGTGCACTTCTCTCTCTCTCTATAGTTGCAAACGACAATAAAAGTAACGACGGGGAGGGAACCCAAAGCCACGTTCAATTTAGACGAATAAATACATCGAATACTTATATTATATACATTGTATTATTTGTGCTCTGTATAGTACCTACATTTTTGTATTTATTTTTCTATTCGCATATAATCGCATTTTGTCACTTGTTAACTTGGTTTCTTTTTTTGCCACAAATGGATGCTTATTCAGAGAGGTGTGTATAAGAAATGCGTGTTTTGAAATTGGATAAAGTGCAGGTTTTGGTTGCAAGTGCTATTGGATATGGTGTATTGTGAATGTCAAGGGATAATTAGTTTTTGAGTATATACTTCAGTGTATTGTATTTTTGTTTGGTATTGTACTGTGTTGTAGTGTATATGATACTGTATTAGTAGTTATAATTATTGTATAGTGCTGCATAATGATGTACAATACAGTATAGTCCTGCATAATGATGTATAATTACTACTACATAACACTGAATAATACAGCATAGTACAGCATGGTACTGCATAATACTATATGATACTGATATGATACAGCATAATACTTTATAATAATATACTTATTTTATATAATATACTTTATAATAATATTATAATATTATATACTGTATAATAATTTATAATACTGTATAATACTTTATAATACTGTCACCTTCTTCTTGATAGTATTAAATTGATACTGATCTGAATCGAATTGATGCCAAAAATTTGGATCAATTTTTGATTTTAATCCGCAATTTTTTTTGTATCAATTCGTTGCAATTTGATATTATTAAGTTAGCAGTGGTATATA